TTATAGATTTGTATACCTTCGAACATTTGCGGTGGTAGCAGTAATAACGTTTCATATAAGCGCAAACGAACCATAGCAGCAGGAGCTTTCAATTGCTGGCCATAATTTTTTAAAACAGGAGACAAACTGAAAAAATATTCCCTAATTATAGGATATTTCTTTACCGCGTTACATGTATAAAAAGTATATCAATATTTAGTACTTTGTCAGCATTGCTAGAGCGGATTCGATCGGCGTGAGTAATCGCCGTGTAATATCATCGTTTAGAAGTTCCGGGCAATGCAGCAAGAAACTGTACATAGCGGACAAAGCGCCGGCACGTCCTTCCAAAGTCACTTGCCACGTGAAAGCATCGCCTCGAGCTTTTTCACTCTCAAGTTCTTTGTTCGAACGCGGGAAGGAGTTTCTCCATAGAAGTAACATTCTCGGTAACAAGCCTTTTACTACTGCCGTACCTGTATGCACACAAATTATATATGCACCTACGGCTCTCTCTCTCTCTCTCTCTATTTATTTTTATCTAGCTCTTATTATTCATTATCAAATAAAAGACATTTATACCTAGAGTCATAATCGCTCCTATCAAAAGCCATCCTGCATGCGTGCGATTTAAAGACAAACGACTGTTTTGACTCGCGCTTCTCAGAAGTTCTTCCGCTGTATTGAAAATTATCTGAAAATAGAAAGCTCGATAATTAAACCGGCGTGATTGGTATATAAAGTAGGACATAATGCACAAGAACAAATATACCTTTCCTTTAGTATGAGGGACTCCTAAAGGTGACAAACGAACACTTCCCAGCACCGCGGCAAGAGCACTACTGTAACCAGCTATAGCTTCCGGTGAGCTACGCATATTTTCAATTCCGTCGACACAGCGGTCGATCAAGGGTGTTATTTGACTCGGTACTGCCACGCATATGCACCGTAAACACCAGGAAGCCGCCAGTCTAGCCGCTTGACATGGATGTACCAGAACGGCCATTATAGCATCAATCAGACCTGCGATAAATACATAATTAACTAAACTTTTCGAGCTACTATTTCTATATTGGAAAAACAAAATATATTTTGCATGCGCAAATACATACTTAAAGATTGATCGGATAGCAAATTCGTAGCTGTGGTACCTAATCCCAGTATCAGATTGCCCATTTCTTGTAGTGCACACACTAATAAATGCTGACTAAATAAAGTTTCTTGATTGCAATCTTTGGCGTTTTCCGGACTGAAATCTAATAAGATTTGCACAATGAAATTATGCACGACTACACGTTATACGAGTATTAAAGTGTGAAATGTTATTCTTACCGATGGAATTCATTTGCTTTAAAATAATATGCGCTATCTCTTTACAAGCAGCTGCTTGAGCTCCTTCTCCTAATAATTTGCCGATGGTACCGCGTAAAATAAAATTCACGCATTTACGCGAGTATACCGCTTCGACGTGAGAATTCGCGGCTTTCGGATTTGTAACCAGATCTAAAACGTGCGCGATTAACGCTCCAATATTTCGTTCCAGCCAAGTACCACCCAACATTTGAACAAATATCACGTATGCCTGTAATAGCAATTATCCATGAGATATTTTTTATCATGGAAAAATATATTCCACAATAAAGCTAAAAGCATACTTTTCACTCAATAGAAAAAATACAAATTATGTCCTGCTTTGTTTTTTCTTACAAAATAACAGGAAAAAAATTTTTTTGCACAATTATATAAATTGTAAATTTAGAATGCATTTTATATAATAGCTTACATGTGTCACCCCAACTCGCACTTCTCTATTTATACTGGAGCTTCCTTTTATGATCTCACCGGTTCCTTTTAAGAAACCAACACCTCCTCTTAAAAATCCAGACATAAGGATATTCAACACTTCTTCGAGTGAAGCTTGCTTAGCACCTTTGTTGTGCGCAACTACATAATATATGCGTTAGAATAAGATTTGGATAAATAAAATAAAAAGTGCCTAAATTTTTGGGTATATATCTTTATAATACATTTTTTACTTGAATACCTGTAAGATTTTTTATCTTGGGTGAAGGAAGTTGTGTCATTGCCACTAAGGTGCCCAGTAATTTAGCAACAGAGCACCTCACTTCGTAATTTGAACCTTCGAATGCCCGGAAGCACAGTGTTGCAACGCTTTCGATTTCAGTCGTATATAAAAACGGAGCATGATTCAACATTTCCAACAAACACTGTAAACACAAATTATTGTGTTTGAAAAAACGGAGCATATGTAATCAACATTTCTTTCGTAAATATAAGTACCTTTGCAGCCGCACATCTTACTGCCATTACTCTGTCGGTTAGATAATGCCTGGAAACTTTGTATATCTCCTTATGCACATTGGTTATTGCAGATCCCATTCCAGCACACACCTAATTATAGGACAAAAATAAATAAGATAAATATATGTCAAATTATAAACTTATTTTATCTAATTTTTATAATTATTTATATTATAGTATATAATATATAGTTACAAAAACTTTCAATGATACTATCACCTTTTCTAACGTGTGCATAATTTCAATCCGTGTTTGTGATTCAGCAGAACGTAAAGACTTTATTAGGATCTGTACAGTCTCCTCATATGACCTGCCCATCATTCTTCCAAGTTTTTCATACATGCATCCCACGCAACAAATAGCAGCTCTAAATGAACAATATGTATGTATACATGTTATAGAAATATTTCACATTTTATATCAACAAAATTAACAATATTCACAGTTTCGTGGGTAAAAAACTTGGTGAATCATCCTTATTCCTCAAGATATCATTGCATTTGTTGACAGTATCAAACAGCAGAAATGTGTCGCCTACACTAAACAAAGTTGCTAGGCATCTTGCAATGAGACGCCGAGTTGGTGGACCAGGTGCTCCTTGCATATGTCTTGTCAATTGTTCTACTAACTTTTGCTGGCATCCTTTAATATCACTCTGCGAGTAAGAATTTAGTATACACAATTAAAAATGTATCATAGGTATTATTAAACAAATAATTTTAATCAATCTCCTATTAGTAATAAACTGGACAATGTTAAACTTTTTTGAGCTGATACCTTTTGAGCAGCAACCAAAACTTTATCTAGAAAGCGTAACCATTCAAAGATGAAAACTGGTCGCTTAGCCTCTGGGATTTGATTAAGAGCATCCTCATTGAGGGTCAGACTATGACTCAACTCCATCATTGTTTTAAATAAATGCACGCACGAACAGGCTGGTTTCAAATATCGGTCACTCAATTACCTCCTACAATGCAATCATTAAATTCTTTACCACTTTACAATTATTGGCGACATACATATTTGGGATTTTAAATTAAGGAAAAATATATTATATTTTAAGACGTCAGCGTTTTGAAAGTGTATTTTTCATTACCGCGTTTTGGTATATACAAGACAAGAACGCGATAAGATGCGATTAGGATAGTATTTACTGGTGTTGACGCAATTAAGAAACAGCAATTTAGGTGTCGTTATCCGATGGGCAAAGATATTTTCATGGCACCGGGTACTATAGGTATCCCTCATGGGATGTCACTTCGTCACTTTAGCACTTATACAGATTAACCGCATCTCGATGACAACATCATTGTCTTCCACGAAACTTCAAATTATCACAATGACGAATGATGCGTATAGATGACAAAATTTGACGTAAGGTTAAGCCTATTTCAGACTGATTCACTCTGGGTCTGGATCACTCCATTCAGCCACGCCTGATGGCGCGTCGGTAGGATTGATACTAGAGTACCTATGGCCGGTATTCATAGTCAGTTCTTATTTGAAGACTGCCTTATAGCGTTTTTCATTGGCAAAGCTAGTGCGCACTCAGTGCACATTAAAGCCGTTATACGCTACTCCAAAATCTGAATGGTAAAGTAAGATTAAAAAGATAAAATGCCTAGTGTATATTTTATCAAATAACACAATAAAATATATTTAAGATTTCGTAGTTTAACTCATTTCTATATTTTTATTACACATATTCTCTATATCGATTTGTGTATGTACAACGGCATTAAACTGCACTGAGTGCGCACTAGCTCTGCCAATGAAAAACGTTATTAAGTAATGTCTTAAGATGCTAAAGCGGCCCTCTGATTGGTTCGTAACTCTTCAAGACTGAACTTAAGACGGTCTTGAAAATAAGGCCTATAATAGAGCATCGTCATGAGGGGTAACGGCCTCGTGATTGGTCGCCGCCATTTCTGGACGCTTCGATGTAGTGAATCTGTGAAGTTGATGTGAGCACTGTTTCATGACCGTAGGACATACAAAAACAAGCGCGCGCGTTATTGTGCTGTTTCCGGCTGGCGCCCAGCAATGGCGTCCTTCCGGTCTTACTCTATTATAGGTACTCAATTGATACTCGGCGGTGCGGCGGTACCGTAAAATTCGTGAAATAATCATGTATGTATGTACATACATACTTAAAGCTGATATTTCATGTGCAGCACGCTGCGGCAGCAAAATGTTATTATTGGTTAAAAATCTTTTGTGAGGTGACGCACTGTAACGCACTTCCACGGTTCTCGAAAATTTGTATTGCCTAGGGTACGGTCAACACGATGCTACAAATGCTTTGAAGCGTTTCTTGATTGGTCAATTTGTAAAATTCTTTTTTCTAATTGGTCAATCAAACGCTTCGGAGCATTTGTAGCGAGACTTTGACTTTGACCCTAGTTCATACTGGATGCGATGGGCGACATCCAATAAAAGCTTTGCTTTTGCTCAGACTGGAGTCCCATGATACGGAAATTACACCGGAACGGAACAGTGAGACCAATCAGATCTCTGCAATCATTACTCTACTTTCCTTTCTGCGATTGTGATTGGTCTCACTGTTCCGTTCCGGTGTAATTTCCGTATCATGGGACAGCACCCTCATACAAATCCGTCATAACGGTTTCTGGAGTATGCGCAGAAGCGCTAGAAGCTTCTCTCGATCAAATGTAATTACTTTCGTTCATTTTGCGGTTGGATCTCTCGAAGAGCATGGTGTTTTTGCACGTCCTAGTTCACCGTGAAAAGGTAAGATTGTTTTCGAAATCTATCGTCATCTGCGTATACACTTCGCCTAGGCATCTCGCGATAGGTTTCCTGCGCACAATTTTTTCTGAATTTAATAATTTTGGTTGTATTTTTTAATTATATTTAGCGCAGAGCTTGCGAATACGTTTCGTTTCGTCCCAACGTGATGAACATTTTTGTCTCGTTCGTATGATTGCCTCTTGATTATAAATCTTACGTTTCTCTGATCATATCGGTTCCCATGGCGTCGTATCGCCGCATACTTTTAACACCATCGCGATTTTATTTTACCGTTTCTCTTTTAGTGCTGGATTTGTAAAGCTGCCTTCCTCTTTCTCTCTCTCTCTCTCTCTGTCTTTCTCTCATATGAAGAACAGAGCCACTAGCTTGTGCTTATCATCACAATTACAAATTTTAGTGAGTATTTTGTTTCTCTTATGTTCGAATAAAACGGATTTTCATTCTTGTTTCGCCACACACATTCTCGTTTGAGTTGCATTTTGGATCATTCCGATCATCTGCAGATGGACAATCTCGAAATTGCATTTGAGAATGTTGCTCGATGTAAAACTTTTTCATTGTTTATGAATCATGATAATTGCAAAGAGATTATTTCATGAAACAGAATATAAAACTTTTAATTATTATGAACACACAATATTGAAAGATTCTTAACACAGTAAAGTTTCAACAAAAAAATCAAATCTAAACAGAAAATTACCATGTGCTTTTATAGGTGTGTTCGTGTTAAGTTCTTCCACATGCTCCTACCATACTCGCTACTTACTTCAAACTACTTATTAGAGTAACTAGAAGTAGCTATTATAATACTACTTATTAAATATAAGAGCCAACTGTGAATATCAATACGAATAAATTATATGATGAATAATTACTGCCCCAGTCTGAGAACTATGACTGATTCAGTTGACTGATAAAATTGTTTGCATTTTATTTTTTCACTGATATATTATAGAGAGAATCTATTCTAATATATACATGTATCTCATTTATGTAGAAAGATGGAAGAGCAGATAGCAACCTGTTACAAATTTTCTCTTCGAATCAAATGTTTATGTAAGTTATCAATGTTATAACTTAAATTTAAAAAGTATATATATTGTCTTGCAATACATATTTATATAATAATTTTTGCTAATATTATAATTAACCATACACGCATGATGAGAATATAATGCAAAACCGCCTACAGTCAATCTGAATGCATGTGACGAAAATGTTGTTTCTGACAAATGTTAATGTTAAAAGAAAATTTAAAAAAGATACATATATATGTTATAACAATATATTTTATTTTAGATATTCATTTGAGGAAACTTGAACCAACGTCTATGGATTCTCCAGTAAGAAGTATGTAAGTCTGAAATTTCTTAATAATTTAATAGGAAACAACGTTGTATTACATAAGTTAGTTTTATTTTCTAAATAATTAAGACATGATGAATGAATAGTTATCCCTGTCTTACGTAAAAACGTGGTGATAAAATGATTTCCTGATGTATATTAATATGTATTACCGATAACGCAATTAAAGTGAATAACTGTCAAAACTAACAGAAATAATTTTTTTTTTTTTTTTCAGAATGTGAAAATTATGTAAGGGAGAGTCTGTAATAAAGAATTTAAAGATGTCAATATTCATTATGCTTAGCATAATTGCAATAATAAATTGTACATCAAAATGATATTTTTTATAAAGTAAGAATTGTGTGTCTCTTGATATTTAATACATTTTTCTAATTGTATGATGATTGTAGAATTTGACAAGCATATGTCTGAGAATCTCTTGCTGTTAAACTTTTAATCTGATATCAAAATGTTATAATTTTGATTTTTTTGTAAAAATATTTTCTTCATAAAGAATATTTCATGTTTTAATTTTAGACTGATTAATATGCGGTAACAATGTAATCACGTCTGTGATCCATATAGATACTGTAGTGGAAGAGACTACTGTATGTAGTAGTAGCAACAGTGAAGTATCACCAGAACTAAAAAGTTATATTAGCGATAAAGAAAAAGAAAAATGAGGTTATTATGTATAAATATATTGCAGATAACGCTGAAGTTCCTCTTTGATTATCAAGTTACAGAACCTGGAATCCACTATTTACAAGTTTTTACACGGAGTGACATATCAAAGCTATTTGAAAGTAAATATTAAAGAAAATATTGAATATTACATAAATTATACATTAGAGATATTGTAAAATATAAAGTATGATGTTAATTTTACGCTATTCTGAGTATTTTCTATGATTGGTTCTTGCCCTCGCTGATCTTATTGATAGAAAAAGAAAGAATTCTCCTTTTTTTTATAATTCTAAGATTACTATTTTTTTGTGTTGCAGATGCGCTATCAAATGAGGTTTACCTGTTAGTACTTTAAGAGGATATTAAACATATAGGTAATAAATCGTTAACATTAATTTAATTTATGTAACATTTTTAAGTTTTTTAAATTAATATTTGTGATATGAAATCAAAAGAGATATAAATTATTGCAATGCAAAAAAACAATCTAAAACTTGTCAAGAAACATTCATAACATTTGTTATTTTTCTTTTAATGATGCTTTTTACAAATATACGCTATGATGTGTAGTGATAATTAAAAACATTACTGAAATGTATGAATGGAATAAATTAGTTGTGTAATATATATTTTGTTACTTGAAAAGTTTTGTTTTACATTTTAGGAAAAGGAAATGAAGGTAAAAGAAAAAAAAATATATATATATATATATCGATCGCAGGTGTATGATAAACAAAAAATAAATAGCAAATATATTCCATAGAAATATGATTTTTATTGGAGAACCTTTACATCTAAGGTACAAAATGCAAAGAAATACGCGTTCCTCTTGGACTAGATACCTATTCCACGAGAAATAGTGTTAATGGCGTGAGATTGCACCAAGATATTGCAAATTTGTATTAGCAATCGCGTCGATGACTCGTCAATGTCGTACGCAATGCTATCTCATCCGTATGTATGTACGATGTGAGAAACATTACATTTACTTCGTTAATTTTCGTTTAATGCGAGATATTGCAACGATGTAAATAATAATTAGGATCAAGATTTTGGCGAATAAAACTGTCCTCCAAATAAAACAAAAGGGAACCGGATCGTAATATCTCGTTTCCCAAATTATCCAAATTCTTATGTATAATATTTAATACGTGTGATATACGCTTATTAAAATCGATCCTACTTTAAGTGAACGCGTGGTAAGGTCTGATCGATCACAGAGAGCTGATAATAATTTAGCGCTCGGTGCATAACACAAGGACGCGAGGAATACAATCTCTAAATTATATATAATATATAACGTAAATATACTATAATACATAACAGAGGGTGTGTCAGCCAGTTAGGCTGCTCCAGATAATCAATATATATGTAGCGTGTAAAGATTCAAAAAAGTATTCTTATTCTAAATCGTCAACGAACAGCTCACGGTAATACCTCTATCTTGTATCTAAAGTGTGCAGTGCCATTACGACTACGTCGTACATATCGTACATTATAAAAATCACACGCGCTTGTGAGTAAGTTGGTCGAGTCTATGTACTTCTGCAATAATTCGTCGCCTGCCGCATCGAAGGCCGGTAGAATGGAAACTCGTGCTCTCGTCCTTGACACCGCCTGTGATTGTTTTCTCAAATGTTGTGATCACCACATGAACAAAAGATAAGATCAAGTGTTCCATAGAATGAGCGAGCTAATTGATATTGCATTCGTACTTCTCTCTCCGTACACATACACATTGAACATTGGTAGAAATTTTCCATCAGACGGCGCAGAAATAAATTCCCAACACTGTTGATGATATTATAAGATACGATATTCTAACGTTACGAGATTCAATTTTCGTTCACAATTTATAGCTGAATTCTTTTCAAACATGATACATTCCTTATTAGATATAAATATTCTTCCATACTATGAATGTATTTTTACGTTCATAATGTAGTACTGTCGTGTGTCAATGGCTGCATTAGTAGAAAACGCAGCTTTGCAACTGTTGTGAGATTCTTTAACATAATTATATATTTTATATGAGATTCTTTAATATGATTTATATATTTAGATCTCTAATGAGGAACTAAAAGCAAGATCGATCTCATTAAACAAATTTTACAGTTGCATAGTCGCTTTCTTTGCTGAACGTAGCTATTGATCAGTAAGTTAAAAAATTAAATTTGGTCGTCTTGTTTTTAACAATAACTTTGTATGAATCCAAGAAGAAGTGAGTGCACTTTGTGTGTTCCGTAATCGATATAAAAATTTCATTTTCTTATAGTGGAGTACTTCTTGAAGATGTAAAAAGATACGGTGTAATGACCATTATAAATCTCTCTTTACAAACTATCTACAATTACAAGTAATATTAATGAATATATTGATTCATTAGACACAAAGACCCTTTCTCTCTCCTAAAATATTCATAATATTTAGAAATGTTTTGAATGCATCTGCGTTCGCATCGATATGGTTAGACATAATTTATGTCAAGCTCTCAGGATTTTACTCTAACACCCTGTGATTTAGATCATGTTACAATATAAAATTACGAACGTATCTTGTTTCCGTCCCTTCAAAGAAGTAGAAACCTGTTGTCTCTATAAACCTTATCATTGCAAAGCTAAATTCCTAAATTTTTCTTTCAAATGAATCGACATTCATTCCTTACATACATGGCTATCTTCCTGAGTGACCGCTAGCATCTTTCGCAGAATATCTATATGAACTACGACATTTCTGACCGCTGCCGTTCGTTATACCGATATACTATACATCATATCTACATTGAGCATGTCGTCTGCCAGTTGTCATAACTGGAGCCGGTAATTTGTGATAGGATCGAAGTCTTTTTGGTGAGTGGAATTTAAGGCCATCACATATCCCCACAATCGCATAGCGGTAGCGCATACTCTTTGTATTTCGCGAACCTCTTCGAAGTCTAAGTCGGTCCTCCAGTGAAATGGCGCGACCTTGGAATTCCGAAAAGTACTTGATACACCGCCTACATCATTCTTCGTATGCGTGTCCAGGAATTTCTTCACGTTTATGTGAAAGTTCAAACCGTAAAAATTGTAAAGCTCCTGCACGTGCTTGTAGGGATCCACAGATAGGTCCTCGTAACGTACTACTCTGTTTATCACATAAAGATTGAACTTGAGTTTCTCGTATCAATAAAATTATCACTAGTAAAGTAGGTAATGAATTTTAATAATAATCTCGTTTGAAAATCGCATGCGGAATAAATTTTTGTTAATGTTAAACATACGGTTTGGAAAAATTTTTTGTAATAATAGGTAGTCATGCAGTGCTATACCTGAAAGAATGGGGGTATCTTTTCGACAGTTCTACCGCCGAGCTGAAGTCCGATACCATGTCCGCGCAGACCAAAGCAGGATCAGAACAATCTGGTTTAGCAGGACACCATTCCCTATGTTTTCTGGATTGCAGAATGCCTCTCGGATCACGAATGAGTAGAACTAATCGTACACCTAGACTGCAATACAAATGAACACATATTTTTATGGTACAAAAGAATATAATGTTCAAATAAAATCTAAAAAATGTCTTCTCATAACTGTCATATAATTATTCTTACTCTTCTTCGGCCAAAAGACTCTCTACCGCATGCAACCTCAATCGCACAAGCTTCATCGATTGGAATGGAAAGAGTCGGCAAAACTTGGAGACGAAACGCGAATCCCAGCAAATGCGTTTATGCGCTTGGCATTGTCGCCATAAATGCGTATTGTGATTAAATACCCAAGGATGAGTCTTCCCATAATCCAGGTAGCGATCTATTACGATAATTACGATTGTATGCAATCATTTAACGAGCGCCTTCAAGCGAATAAAAATTTAAAGTGTGTAAAATTATTATATATATATATATGTATATACCGAGCTCCTTGTATTCACAATTCAGCAGAGAGAGTATCCTTGTTAAAGATTCTTCGGCAAGTGGCGATCCTCGGATTTGCACGATTCCATAGTCGAGCAGCGGTTCGTAATGGTAAAAATTGGCCGGATGCGCGTTCACCACATCACCAAGGAACGTGCTACCACTTCTCCAACTCGTCAGAATTATGCTTCTCATGGGTCTACCACCCTTCTCCATCACTAGATCTTCAAGTTTGCTATGTATGGGTAATGGTTAAACGTTTCAATTTTCGAAAAAAAAAAAAAAAAAAAAAACTCTGGTGCGTGTAATTTACCTCACATTTATTCCATATTTTCCATTTGGATATTCATAATTTTCCATTTCTCTTTTAATCGTTTTTCTTTGTTGGTCAACCACCTCCTGAATTTCAGTGATCGTAGCATTGTCCGCGAATCCCGTAATGTACGCCTAAAAAAACAGATTAGGGCTAATTACTAAATAAAAAGTTATTACTACTCGTGCTATTTGTTAGCAACATTACATAATTGCAGTATTAAAAGTTATTATATCTTCGTAACAGGTATGCGATCATATATCCTAAACAGAAACAAATTCACATTTTAAAATTTAATCACATAAAAGCAAATTTCTACAGCAGGCCGTTTAAAATTTAACACTATTAGTTTTACAAAGACAAATTCAAAAGTTGTACGAATTATATGAGTATTAGTTTATTTCATAATAAAACAGTATATCTTAATGTTTTTTTTTTTTTTTATTATTATTAAAAAGGAATAAACCATAAAATGTAATAAAAATGATAAATATCGTTTATATTTCATAAACAAGCAATGTAGACATTTAAATTCATAATCCAGAAATAAAGAAAATGCGTTTGTAAAAAGCTAACACAAGTAAAAATACATACAATAAACAGATGCATCACAAAGTAACAAGAATATAATTCAAATCGTAGTATGCGGCATCATGCAATGAAGGAAGATATAAAGTTTTAAATTAAAACGCGAATTAATTTACTTTATTGAAAATGTAAATTACTTCTTTTGCTTATCCTATTTTATTTACGTTTATCTGTTAAAAGCAACGTCGTTAATAATATTCTTAAAATATAAATACATACGTTTTAAGAGATAATTAATAAAAATATATGTTTTACATATTATATACACATTAGAATTAATAACATAGAAAAACAATTGGAAATAGAAAAAAGATGTTATATCTGTAAGGACACAGGAGTCGTGGCTAGTTATACGCTATGCTTTTCGCTAAGCTTGCCGAAACAATATTACGATAAGATAAGGCGCTCTATCAGCAAACAGTCATCAATAACAAGTGGTAGCATTTACGCATTCAGATTGATACGTGCATACCTGGCTCACCGTTACCGGCTCTTGGATTTTGGTGGTCCGCGGCCTTATCTCAACATCCTATATCGAGGAAGAAAAAAAAGCATCGACGTTTTAGCGTTTCTATTGTGCGTCTCGCATCGCGTCGTGTATAGGTACACGAATATATCGCTAATGGAATAATTGTGATATAAGATAAAATGATCTTTCTCCCTCTTTCTCTAGGTAGCGTGTTATGATTCCAAAGGATGCAAGTGCGATCTACGAGATTACTCATATATTGTGAATCTATCGTATATAGTAAAAAGTGAAAGTAAATGATAAAAAGTATTAGTCTACGCGCAAACATGCTGGGTTTCGATCATGTAACTTTTTCTCTAGAACGTAAAGGTGAAAATTTTTTATATGTATGAGTGTATACATAAATGCATTTCCGTCCTAGCGAAAAAGTTACATGATTGATACCCTGGTTTCGATAATTAATCATATTACAGGTGTTTCTTTTGATATCAAATTTCACACGAATTATCAGCTATTATAAAGAAGATGAATTACAACAAGCCATGAACTTACAATCGTCGATCTGATTTCCAATAAATTGACGTCTTTGATAGAAAATATCAAAATTTACAAAATGTTTCGAAACGACAGTTGTTCCTCTGATATTAGTTTAATTTTTTTTTAGCTGAACAGTAGTACAGCTTGCAACACGGTTCAACTTTTCTCTTATCTCTCTTCACGTTGGAGAAAAAGGAGAAAAAACAAACGGTAGGAAAGAAAATTTAGCTGAAAAAACAAAACAAGTTTATTTCATAAATGATCGCAAAACGATGCATGAAAGGGAAAGGGAATGGAAATAGGGAGAAAGAGAAGTCGGTTCCTCGTGCGTCGCTTCACGTTTAATGTTCAAAAGAAATGAATAAAGAGAAGAGAGAGAGAGAGAGAGTTAGGTGCAAAAGTTAGACTTTTACCGTCAGAAAGAGCGTGTTTGGCGTGACTCAATTTAGAGCAATCCCCACCTCCGAATTTGTACTGACCGATATCACCGGTTGCAGTCGATGCTCAAGGTAGCTGCTGTAGCGCTGGTTAAACGCTAGGAAGAAGATGCAGACGGACGCCAGGGCTACCAGACAATAGAAACTCAGCCGCTTCGACATCCTTAATCCTAGAAAGCGCAGCAACTTGAAAAGACAAAAGATCATTTATGCAGATTGGCGCACAAAATGTTCCCGCGGGGCGGGAAACACGATGATCGCAATTGTAAAAGTGCCGACAAGACATTTTATTGAAAAAACATTTATTTATAAATATTGTATCAAGATAACAATTACTTATAAATAACTGTTACTCAAGCGCGATATATGTAAACGCAAATAAGGAAAATAACGGTTAATAATATACGAGATAGTATTAAGAATAAAAATAGTTGACAATGCGTTTATTGTATGTGTTTAAAAGTTAACAATACATTTACTCATGTTAAAAGATCAATAACATAAAATAATACGCGTATATTTTTTTATTAATTTAATATTATTGGTACACACACGATAGGTCATTCGTGTCCGGGATTAATTTTTATCACTTTAACAAATACATAAAAATTATTAAGTGTGTATATAAATATTCTAACTAATTACTTGAAGCTCCTAGTTCTTCGTAGAAAAGAAATGTCCTGCAGAATACGAATCCAATCGAATATACTATAAGGGTTAATTTTTTAACACGATAATTATTAAATACAAATTGTTAACTTCTTTATTCTCCTTAACCATCCGTGGTTGACGGTTTTCTCATTATTTTTCTAATCCAATCGGGTCACTGGTGACTGATTATATATTTTTTTAAAGAATTTTTGAACTCTAGAAAAATCTGAAAAACATGTGGCATATTCTTCTCAATATTCAAGAATACGAATGATGTGTTACCTTTTCATTTTTCGTACATGTCCGAATTTGAAGTAAAATAATTTAAAATTGAAAATTCGTGTGGGTGTTCTCGAGCCCCCCCGGTTGAATCACAGAGAGAGTTAAATAGCTCATATATTATTGATCAGGGTGTAACTAAAAAAACGTATATGGAGCATACCATGAAATACAGGACAAGAATCCAAGTAGAAAAATCATTTTTTGATCTGAGCTTTCAGTTCGTTGTTATACGATGTTAAAGTTAGCGAATTAGCGCTCGGGTATAGAAGGAAAACAGGGACGTAGCAAGGCGGAGCTGACAAATTCGCGACAGGAGAACGACGATATTTATTTATTTATTGATGTAATTATCAATTTCTCTCTCTCCTCTCTCCCCTTCCCTCTCTCTACATCTTGTTTAAAGAAATGTTAAAGATCCAAAAGAGTGCAAAACTAAAATTAATGATTTGGTGTTTTCGTAATAAATTATCGATTTAGAATGAACTAATCGGTTATTTATTTCATTAAAATTATAACAAGTTTTTTGATCTTTAACATTTCTTCAAACAAGAGATGTAGAGAGAGAGAGAGAGAGAGAGAGAGAAAATTGATATTTACTTTCGCTGGTTACCGTCGCGAATTCGTCAGCTCCACTCAGTCTTTTGCTACGTCTCCATTACCCGGGCGTTAATTCGCTAACTTTAACATCGTATAACAACGAATTGAAAGCTCAAATCAATAAATGACTCAAGACTTTTCTACTTGGATTCTTATCCTGTATTTCATGGTATGCTCCATACACGCGTTTTTTTTAGTTGCACCCTGAATATACGTTCTTTATTGAAATAAGATATTGTAAAAACAGCGTGATTGAATTTCGTAAATTCACTCGATAATTTACACAATGAATGACATTTCGGCGAATGAATCTTGATTATTCACAAACAACAATGAAACTTCAAACTTCAAAGGGCGACACGAGAAGAGGAAAAAAAATGATTGTTCAATTTTTCACCGAATGTCCAAAGCGCAAAACAATTCGTAGTAATTAAACGTTATACGATTAATTATACCGTGATTAAATGAAAACTCGGTCACGAAAGTTTGAGTCCCTCTTTTTATTAAAAATTTCTTCGTGTAATCGCGATAAGAATTGGCAGTGTGTCTAATTAAATAAAATAACTACAGGGAATAACCTTGCGACAATATTTTCTTTCTTTTCTACGGCGATAAACGGGGGCGCGATAAGACACGAGCGCGACGAAACGATCGATCGGAATTAAATCGACGGGCGGCACAGAAACGGGAGTCGATTCGTCTCACCTTCCGCGAAATATGATCCGCTAGATGAGGTCTCGCCATCACTCGTTGTTGCTTGTGCTAGCGGGAAAATGCCGTTTTTTCACCGCGATGGTCGTCACATGTTACCGCGCCGTGACATAATAGCGAAATCGAAAAAGAAAAAACGATATTTTTTGCGAAATTAGCATGAAATGAAGAATACAAAATTTGGCCCACTTTGAAAAAATGTTAATAAATATTTGTTTGAGAATGTAATATTAACTACACACACACATATTTACTTAATAGTAAACAAATATTTACTTAATAAATCATTTTTTGATCGAGTATCATCGAATTTTATAGCAAGTTAGTAAAAGCTGCTATATATAAAATTAGCAAAGTAAAGGCATATGAATATTTAAAACGATAAAACATCCGATAATGACATCATCATATTATTTAACAGAGTATATGTATTATTTCATTGTCGCGGTGAAGTTGATTACACATATATTATGCAACTGCATTAGGCACTCGATATAACGCAGCTATTAATGTGCAGTGATCAAGTGACAGAATTCGCGATTAAACATATGTAGTCAAACATATGTATGTTTAACGTCCAGTTATTTTTTAAATCCATCCTAAAATTGCGTAAGCATAGCCGTTAAATGGTTGTAAGAATTGATGAATCACAGTTGAAATATTTAACTCTGTGGTCGGTCAATTCTTACAATAGGGTTGCCACAAAAAAGACAGAGAAATTTTTTTGCCAAATTTTCTGGAAAATTACAATTATTTGTAAAGAAGTTTAATATTTGTACATCATACCTATGTTGTGTTGGAATACTATAACCGCAACTTAACAATTAAATGTAGACGTAGTGTCAGCACTTGACAATGTTAATTAACATTGCTATGTTAAATTGCTCTTTCAACAATAAAAAATATTTGATGGTTTCCAAATCTCGAAATCAAAATTTCCAAAATAAATTGTATTATATTATTAATTATTATTGAAAACATCGGCAAAAGAATGATGAAAAAAAACTTTTTGTTCCAATCCTGTACTACATTTAGCTAGATATAGATTTGAAAATAACTTTCTCCAGTATATACTATATATCGCTGGTTACGTTTGATTTTTTTACGTAATTATTTAGATTTAGATAGTGCAACAAAATCATTTTCAGATTTGTAAGGTAAACATACCAGCAATATCAGTATAGATAATTAGTGTGACCAAAACCCAATTATTGGACGAAACGATGAAATTCGTTAAATATTAAGTCATTAATAGAACTCGAAATAAATTTTTTGTGTTAATAAAAATTCAATAGTTTACACATTTTTGTTATTTCTTCCAATAATTAGATGATGCCGCATATTCATTAACTGACTGACTGATGCATTTATCTTTATCTTAGCCAGGTAAAATTTTAAATACTTGAGCAAAAATCGTTCTTTCCGCGATACGTTTACGCAAACGCAGAATGGATTTAAAACGTTTCGCGAACATGAGAAGAATTTGCATGTCGATAATTCGAAGCATTCGAAGCTCCACTACAAACTTCACTTTCCGATCGCTCGAATGGGGATACGACCGGCTTGTTTACGACTTTACGGAATGAGATCGCACGTGCAGCGCGTTCCGCTCGCGTGTTCCGGGAACGCGACACGATGGTGAGAAAAATGATATTGAATTATGTCGACGCAGTGACTAGGCGCGACCACTCGCGGTCGAATGCGGACGGAGTGCGGCGCGGCGCGGCGCGGCGGCGGACACTCGATAATTAAGTATACGCGCGACGAGATAAGCGTCGGCCACGAGAGAATTTGTGAGGATCGGTGGCAGGCAGACTGCACTGCAGAGGAGGTGGAAAAGGAGGCCTTTACGTTTTTAATCACCTTAGTTCGCCAAATCACGCCAAATGTCTAATGAAATTCTCTCTCTCTCTCTCTCTCACCTCGGAATCGTGCTCGTGCACTCGCTGCCGTACATTCGGCCAGTTCAATTCAATCACGACGCTGGAGTGACAACGGGAGTCGCAGCGATGAGCCGCGGGCCGCCTCGAGGACGCGGTGGATAACGCGCTGCCGGTGGAGAGTGACGACGACGTTCATCGCGTCGGCCAACGACGCTCGTGGCTTACTAACGAGGACGCGGTCGGGCCGGACGCGTCGAGAGTAAACGAACGGCAGAGCCCGTATTGCGGCTTGTACCAGTAGTCGCCAATAGTGCGCCGTGGTGCGCCGTGGTGCGCAATCTCACGCAGTCTGCAGAGCAATGCAGAGTTCGCTCAGTCCGCTGTAGAGTGTAGCAGCACAGAACATGTACTAAACAAACAGTACTAAACGAGGGTCCCAAGTTCGACACTGCACTCCCTACACTCTTCCTGTTTCAACAGTCTGTTCGTGTTGCTCGAAAAATTTTTCTACTTCAAATATAATGATATATTCGATCATTGAAGAGAAAGAAAGTGAAGAGCTAAAGTGCAAACACAATGCTTGCTACGAACCTTCCGAAGCCGAATGTTTTCATTCGTTTCTGAAAGCAAAAGCGCACTGCCAAAGAATTAATTAATTCCAGCTGATGTATATTAGACGGTGTTTTTTCCTTATTTTGATTAATATTCTGAAAGATTTATACATGTATGAAGCGCATTTGTAAAAATAATATATACATACAATCAATGATGCTCCTTTCCAAGCATCGATAATTATCGTAAGATAAATAAATATATATGTACTACATAGTTTTTTTTACTCACAATTCAGAAGATATAAAGAACTCTTTTTCCAGATTCGATATAATATCATGGTTTCTCGCATATTTCGTAGACTGACGTAGACGGTGAGAACAAAGATCTTATTAGCACTAACATCAATTATATTTCGATATTTGACATATAATTTATTTTTGTAAATTTTTTCAAACAAAAAATCTTTTAAAACCGTAATGTGAATATACAACAAATAGGAAATAAAGCCCTAAACGATAAAGATATCTTTTTAACAATAATTAAAATCGATGCCGTATACAATAAGCCAATTTAATTCGAAGAATGAAAATTAAATTTGGCATACAATGGAGCGGGGGAATTGGATATCAGAATTATAGCATTTTCTCTTGGCTGCACCAGTGCAACACTCAGACAGTAAGTCTGTTCTTTATTGCTGAACTTTTGCACTAGTTCATCTTTCTCTCCAGGAGAAGGGAAAAGGAAAAAAGATGAACTGGTGCAATCACCCTACCCTGGTGCAGCCAAGAGAAAACGCTATTAGTGTGCTTGATCGATGTTTTTAACATGTTTAAACAAGTCTTTTTATAATACTATTTCAAATACATATGAAGGATGAAAAACGTGTTTTTAAAAAAAGTAATATATACCTTTGTTCTTAAAAAAAAAAAAAGATATTATCTTTTACAACTCTGGATATATATGAAATTATTCAAGCACTACAGATTCAGCTTTGGGGCATTAATTAATTTTTTTTTACGTGTATCTTTTTTTTAGCGAAAAATATATAGCTAGTCAATCATATTGCGTCGGTAATAGCAACAGTAAAGTATGTACACTCCGTTGCCGTCGCGTGGCGTTAGTGGCGCCGGGTGGTACAGTAGTACTCCTACAGTGCGTTGCCGGCTTTGCCTGGCTTTGCCCCTCTTACGTCCCCCTACGTCGTGTCAGTCGGATGCTGACATTCGAGCGGCGCGTTCGTTATCGCGAGGAAGTTGCTCTCGCAGCGTGCGCGCGCGCGCGCGCATAACCCTTTCCTCCCAACGCTCTGTCTCCCTCTCTCTTTTTCTGTCTCCTCGACCGACGGACGTGACGTGCGAATCGTAGCCACTTCTGCCACTTTCGTCTGACTGAAGGACATCAGTCTCCTCGTTCATCGCGTTCGTCGTTGCCAGTCGCTGCTGGTGGCTGCTGGTCGCTGCTTTCTCGACGGCAGGCGCGACGCAACGCAACGCAACACACATACATATCTGATCTCACGCTCGTGTCTCTCTCTCTCTCTCCTTCTCTCCCACCCGTCCTTCATCCCTTTCCACTCATCGGGGCGAGCCGAAAACTCTAGAAAACTCGTTGTATTCGAGTATCTCATCTCGAACCGGTAACATCTCGCGATTAGCGAGAGAGGAAGAGTGCGAGAAGGCGAAGGATCTTTTCAGTTACGGGTGAAAGAAAAACGCGTCTGAACGCGTCCTGGCGAGATGCGTCGCGCTGCACCACGCCGCTCTACTCCCCGCGTTGATTCCGCGTGACCAGCGCGAGTGCTGGAGTACCTTGGAGAAGTTTGGGAAGTGCGCCGCGATCTCCGGTGCAATCCGCCACGATCACCACCGGCTGTTCGACGTCCCGACGAACGGGCGGCCCTGGAGGAGGACGTGGCCGAGGAGGGAGGTGGAGGAGGAGACGAGGAAGAAGAAGAAGAAGAAAAGGAGCATTTCGGTTGCCGGGAGAATGCGAGACTGAGCTGCTGTCGCCGCTGGTAAATATCTTCTTTCCGTTTTCGTCGCGCCTACTTTGCGATTACTTTCGGGGTAATAGAGTCCGGTCACGAGATGATCAATTTTTTTTCTCAACTTTAGCATAGCACAAGATAGCCTACTCTCTAAATTCTTTCGAGTAGAATCTCATTCTAAGGAGTGAAAATTTAACCGTAGTCTTGTAAGAGGATGGTTCGATTTTCAACCTTTAGGAGTGACAGTTCTAAAATATGTAAAAAGAGACACAATATTGTCAGCAAGAAACAGTGACACAGTTATTACTCCGTCTTTGTTTAATATGCCAAACAATAAGGATGTAATGAACTGTGTTTCTTGCTGGAACACACAGATAAGGTAACTCCATACATACGCTGCATCTAACAAAAACTTAATTTATTAAATATTATATTTAAGGTAAACGAACTATATAGGTAGCCAGTAAAAATTTTGTAGTATTTTTTGTCTACTATAATGAAAAAAAATGTTAGAAATCTGAAATATTTATTGTTTGTATTAAAAAAAAGTAACTTTGAAACCCTTGCAATTTTTGCTGTATATCTCACAGGGATGGAATACATGGCTACTCATAGGCGGGGGGGGGCTGAATATGTGGTTCATTTACAAATAATGCTTATAAATAAGATGTGAAAATGACACAATAACTTATAAAATGTGCAGCTTACAACGTTGGAATAAGAATGTATATGAAAAAAAGTAATTGATAATAATTGCAATCTTTTACAGTAATGACATAAAATTCATTCATATTTCATATAACGCATTTATTTTATTTAGTGCACTGAATCCAATCTGCGCATTTTATATGCTATGCTTTAGGCATAAATCCCACCCGCTCTAAAAATGCCGTATATCTCAAACAGGTAGAATATAAAAGACATCAAGCTGAACATATAGAATATAAGAACTAAACACTTGTATCATACTTTATTATATTCCAATCTTTACTGTCCCTTTAACTTATATATCATCAAATAACCATTGAGCCCTTCGCAATCTCTACAATAATCAATTCAATGTGAATTATGATATATGGTTGCGCTCTGTTCATTACATTGACAAATCGATTCGACTGACAGTAATTTTATTAATAACGTGTTAGGAGAGGGGGGACATACACCTCGACTAGGCGGATCAAAATGAGGCCTAATTTTGTGAATTTTTTGTGAAAAAATGGATAGAAATAGAAAATTCGTGATTATTTCATTGTAAAGATTTCTCTTGGCTTACTGTGCCTTTTGTTCCGTGTCATACAGAAAAATTTAAAAGATTTCATAATAATGATATCAGAGTTTCGTTTCGTAGCCCGAATAAAATGAGTAAATATGTTAAAGTTCAAAAAGATGCCCTTTCAAAAGACTCTAGAAGCAACGTAGTTTATAAAATTTCATGTAACGATTATACTTAAAAAATACAATATGTAAGAAAAAAAAATCGATTTTTGTCGCCGCCTTTAGGTGCGTATATGGCCATCCTAACAGTAGGAAACTAACATAATACTAATATAACATAAAGACATATAACAGAAAAAAATGGTTGTGTGCAATTTCACCCACTCTTTCTATTTTTTCTGACTTCTGAGGCATAAATACCAGAGTCATTCTACATCCAAAAGAGTCTAATATTGTATAAATGGAAATCTCACTTTTGTTTTGACAAAACTGCTCGTTTTGTCAGATTCTGATAGTCAGGATCTTTATGATGGAGGAGGACAATGCACACGGCGATGAAATTGCGAAAGCAATCCAAAGATTGCTTGATTTCACAGACGTCACTCTACGCTACGAAATGTATGTTTTTAATTTTTCTTTCTTTGATCTTTAATCCAATAATTGAGTCTGAGATTTGTCTGGCTAAAGAATATTTCAATTGATATTTTCGTTCGCTCGTCTTGCGCGCGGCACTACGACCTTAAATTTACGTTTATGTACAACGCTCGTTTTAACGTCAGGTAATCTTTTTCGCAAGGCAACCTTCTGGCACGCAGAAACAACGCGTCATGTGTGTGATTACTTATGCCTGTACCAATGTAGATTAACTTTAATCTCAGTTCAACTTACTCTTTTTATCTTTTTTTGTTTCTTTGAGCTACAAAAGATAAAGAAGAGCGAGTTAGTTGAATCGAGATTAATATTGTATTAAACTACATTGGTGAATATGGGTAGAAACCTGCTTCTGTCAATTTTAATATCTCGATTCTCAATTTATTCTTTAGCTTCTTCTAATTCTAAGAATTAAGCCCGATTCTCTAATATAAAGAATTAACTTTAATCTCAAACTCCGCGCAGCTTCGAATCCTGATTGAAGTGATACACTTTTTTGCGATTCGGAATATTTTCGTGATTATCGATGCGTGTAATAAATTTTTTTATTTACTTTTATGGCCAACATGCTTCGTACTGCTGCTTAATAATTCTTTTTACTATAACAACGCAAACAAAAAATTTACCGTAAACTGAACATTTTCTTCGCGATAAATTATGAATGATCTTATGAATCCTCTTACGGAATAATTATTGTATAACTAAGGAGTATAAAGGGGGGGGGGCAATTAATTGCCGAAATTACAATTACATTTATTAATAACAATTAAATTACAATAACATATTTACAAAGCTAACTGATCCATAATAAAAGATAGAAATAGTTAACGAGAACTATATCATAAGTAAACAAAACGAATTAATGCAGTTATTTCTTTAAGATAAAAAGTATTCCGTTTTCTCCGCCGCCATTAGAGTTTTGTTTTGTTTGAGATGTATATCGAAGAATTCTTCGATGATTGATACATCATTATACATATACACAGAATCAATCCTCCAATCATCGTATTGAGAATATCAATCATATGTAATAAATGTAAATATTATTTATTGTTTACGTTATTTGATTATTTATATTAGATATGATTAATATCCTTATCTAGCAACATTTGTCAGATGATTGACAATTGTAATTTAGTTTTTATACGAATGAGATGAACGTCACGCACGCCAGGCGATCCGCGATAACGTTTATTCAATTTGCCGTGTCGATTAAGTAATAACCAAATCTAATTAAATTAATATTAATTACATAACGCAAGTTGAAGCTTGTGAATCTTTCGGCGGTTCGTTAACTCTTTGATTATATGGGATATTAAAA